CTGCCATCGTGCCTTGGGCCAAGCCGCCTCCCGGACTCTGGCCGCAGCCGGTCGAACGGTGCTGACCATTCGGCGTATGGCATCTGGCTGGCGCTGGGTCAGCTCTTTCTTCCGTGTACAGTACCCTTCCCGGCTCACCGCCCCCCCACGCTATTTGGGCGAACCCCACGATGGAGGGGCAGGTCGAGCTTACAGAGGGCCGCTCAGAAGGGAAATGAGCCGAACGACCGAGGCACGGGAAGCTTCGGCCGGGGGCTTTGGGAGACCGATGCTTGGGGCTTTCTTTGGGGGAAGGGGGGGGGAGGGGTGTGGAGGGTCCTAGGGAATGGGGCCCGATTCTTGGGGGGAGGAGGGGGCTTTGGACTGTGATATGTGCGAAAACGTGGGCGAGTTGACATGTGAATGGGTGACGAGTTGGGGAAATTTCCTTTTCCACCAATTCTTCCATCTTGACTCTTCACGTTTTTGTCTTTGAAATTGATTTGGAAAAAAAAGCTAGTTTGCTCTATATCTCCTCCTCAGAAAACGCTGTAGTTTTCACCACAACATCCCCCATCTCCTCGGAAAGAGCAACCGACAGACGTGCCGAGGCTGCGGCTGTGACGTAACCGGGATTGCAGTGTGCAGGCACGATCTAGCACCTACCTACCGAGTGCTACTGCCTTAGTAGCTCCAGGGCAAGCTCAAGATCTGTTTCGCGAGGGCCGACGGAACCCTTTCTCTTTTCCGCCTTCACCACTACCACCACCACCTCCTCCTCCAAACCTCACGTTTGACGCGCGCGACCTGCCACGCAGAGACGCTTGGTTTTTCTTGTCGAAGAGACCCAGTCGAAACAGCAGACATCTCGACATTCTCATCTCACCACCAATTGATCGCGTAGCCCGTCTCGTCGCATCCTCATCCCTCACGCGCCCTCCTCGAGGTCTCACCAACCAACCTCCTCTCCCCCCTCCCTTCACAACAAAATGGCCCCCTCAACCGACCCCGCGGCGGCGGCGGCCAGGATTAACGAGGCAGTCCAGACGAACCTGCCTGCCGCTGTGGCCGACAAGGTCCCTCACATCCCCGAGACCAAGGCTGAGGCGAAGGAAGATGCGAAAAAGGCCGTCAGCGCTGGCGCCGCCCAGCTGCGCTCCCTCGCTGCTGGTGGCTTTGGTGGTATCTGTGCCGTCATTGTCGGCCACCCCTTCGATCTCGTCAAGGTCCGCCTGCAGACTGCTGACAAGGGCGTCTACACATCCGCCATTGACGTTGTCCGCAAGAGTATTGCTCGCGATGGCCTCGGCCGTGGTCTGTACGCCGGTGTCTCTGCGCCCCTTGTTGGCGTGACCCCCATGTGTGAGTGTGCTCCCGCATCCTACCTGCCTTGCCGGCCTTCACAAACAGTCCTCCTCTGACCATCCTCGCTAGTCGCCGTCTCCTTCTGGGCCTATGACTTGGGCAAGGACATTGTCCGCAGCATCTACCCCGAACACCCCGTCTCGCAGCCCCTCACGATCGGCCAGACCGCCGCTGCTGGCTTCTTCTCCGCCATTCCCATGACGGCCATCACCGCTCCTTTTGAGCGCATCAAGGTCATCCTCCAAGTCCAGTCCCAGAAGCTCCAGCCCGGCCAGGCGCCGCGCTACAAGGGCCCTTACGACGTCGTCCGCCAGCTCTACGCCGAGGGTGGCCTGCGCTCCGTCTTCCGCGGCTCCGCCGCTACCCTCGCCCGTGACGGCCCTGGCTCCGCCGCCTACTTCGCCGCCTACGAGTACATCAAGCGCCGCCTCACCCCCAAGGACCCCGTCACCGGCGAGAGCACGGGCCAGATCTCCCTGCCCGCCATCACCGCCGCCGGTGCCGCCGCCGGTATCGCCATGTGGATTCCCGTCTTCCCTGTCGACACAGTCAAGAGCAGGCTGCAGACCGCCGAGGGCCACGTCACCATTGGCGGCGTCGTGCGCGGCGTCTACGCAAACGGCGGCCTCAAGGCCTTCTTCCCCGGATTCGGCCCCGCGCTCGCGAGAGCCGTGCCCGCCAACGCCGCCACCTTCCTCGGTGTCGAGCTGGCGCATCAGGCCATGAACAAGGCGTTCGGCGGCTAAGCGCTTCCAGTGCGGAGAAAAAAAAGGTGAAAGAGACGTGGCGCTTGCCTTGAATAGGCAGGGCAGACATGACGGCGGTAGAAGAGGGAGGGAGGAGAGAGTGTACATATGACAGGATCTCATGGGTGCTCGCTCGTGTTGGAGACGTAGACGAGGTGGCACACAAAGCTAGACCGTTTTTCTTCCAGCATCTCGAGCTATGAATATTCGTTTTTTTTTGCCAACAATAAACGTCTCACGTGTCTTTTGTTATAGTTGAAGCAAGCGATTTGAACCATTTTCTCGGTGGTATCAAAGAGAGTCATAATTAAGAAACAAGCCCTCATTGTGGTCAACGCTCTCGAATTGGAAATGGGGGAACTCATGATTGAACGCCATTCGTCACCCGACTTTTCTTGTTCTTCTTTCTCTTCGAGGTGGGAGGATTCTTTTGTCCTTGTTCCAGTGCGATGCTATGATTTTCCCAACCCGGCATTCCGACAAACCAACGCCCATACTCCGATCAGACATTCTGTACGCTCGACATGTTCATTTACCGCATCGCGAGGCATCTCACGCGGATGATGCTTCACGCGCCCCACAGACCCCTAGCCCCCGTGCTGGCAACCGGCACCGCCTGAACCGTCTCTTCCATCCTGTCGTCTCCGTCCCTCGACGGCGGCCTGGAGATCTCCTGCAGCCTGTGGGGAGACCGAACGGTCCTTGGCTGCTCCTCTCTGATGTTCTGCAGCGGATGGCTGCTTGACGGGGAGATCAGTTCTGGGCTCGGCGCCTTGGGCGCCGCGAATCGCCGGCCATCAAAGTCGGGAAAGAGGTCGTCGTCGTCGCTTTCGCTGCGCCTGACGACAGGACTCGAGGGCGACCAGAGACCCGTCGACACAGGTTGGCTAAAGGTTGTGGCGCCGCTGCCGACAGTGATACCGGTCGTATTCAGCGCGATGCCCCGAGGCATGGGTGACGTTGTGTAAGATGTGCGCCGCATGCTCGCGAGGTTGGCGTTAGCCGAATTGCTCCTGGAGCCGCCGAGATCAAAGTCGTGAAACCCCAATCCCGTCGCGGAGGACATGGTCGAAACGCGGCCTCTGGCCTGAGGATGTGGCGTGTGAACATGGGCCGAGGAGGTGGATGCCGCGCGCGACAGGCCACCGCCAGTAGAGGACATGTTACGCAGATGATCATTGCTCGCCTGGATCTTCAGGTCATAGTACTGGTCAATCGGGATCTTGCCCGGCACCATCGGCGCGCTGGGATCGCTGAATGGAACCATAGGGGCGTCGCCGTCGACGTTGTCCTTTCGCGCAGCCATCGTCACGGTGGCCACGCCGACATCCATGAGGACCGGCTGGCGCGTGATGGCGCCGATCATGGCATTACACCCTGCGCCGTGTGAGACGAGAATGACTACAGCCTCTGCGTCATCGTCGGCATCGTCAAAGACAGGCGCATGGGGTGTTGTGGTTGCACCGAGCCGTACGGTCTTAGTCACGAGTTCGGCCGGGCTCTTGGCCGTCGCATACCAGTCTACGAGCTTCTGAAACCCAGCCCTGAACCGCCGGTGCATGGAGATCCATTCTTCGCCAAACACACCACCGTCACCCCAGTTTAGAGGCTCTTGCATCGAGTCCCACTGATAATCAGCGACGGCGCAGGCGTCGCGGGCGTGCGCGACGTAGCCGTCGGGGATCTTTCCGCTGGTGGATATGGCATAATTGGGCGTCGGCGCTACATATCCGTCGTCGGGACTGGTAGACCGTCTGGTGCTCGAGGCGCTGTTCGCACTACCGGCGCGATTCCTCGGCAGGGCGCTGGCCATGGCGGGCAGGCCATCGAGACCCAAGGGCGAGTTGGAGTCTACTGAGCTCGCCCGTTCATTCGCAGCTGACATTTTGGGGCTGCTCCAGAGCTGGCCATGAGACAGTGAGGTCATGGAGCTTGCATGGGGACGAGAGCTCTCGTAGGCGCTGATGGTCTCATGTCGGAGGAGCGCGACCTTGGCGGTGCCGAGCATGTGTTGCGAGCTCGGCGGGCGAGCAATGGCCTCAAAGTATTCGGGGTTCAGCCATTCTCCGAGGAAGGCATCGACTCGGATGGGCGTCTTTTGGATGACGCCTGACAGTGGCTGCACGCTGGGGTCGGCCGACAGCGGATTGACCTTCTCAGGGGCTGTACTGGAGAGATGATAGGGTGTTGTGGCTGAGGCTTGGGGTGCGGCATGGGCCAGTCCGGCGCTGATGGCGACGGATGTTTGTATGCACCGTAGAAAGGGCGAGCTGTGGCAAACAATCTTGAACTTCCTCTTGTTGCTCGGAGCTGTCGGAGAGTCGTTGCCGGCGTCTTCTTGCGCCTGCCGGAGGATGGCAGCGATCCTGGCACCGGCGGCCTGCGCCTGCAGCCAGCCGCCGTAGGTCAGAGGAGGATCGTAGGGTGTTGGCGAGGACAGGTGCCACTTCTTGTCAGCCTGGTCGAGTCGAGCTCCGTGTCTGCGCGGGCGCGGGGCCAAGTCAGCTCAAACGTCATTCGAGGCGGGAGACCAGGACGAAGGTGAGGGGTTGTTGGAGAAGGCATGCACTCGGGGGGGGGGGACACCAACCTGACGACAAAGATGTATGCGGGTGGGCGTCCCATGATGGACGGCTTGGAGGGAGACGACGCGCTCTGCGACGACAGAGGAGCAGTGCAGGCGAAACAGGAAAGGAGTTCGATTTATGGGAGCTCGACAGGTTGAAATATGTTCGCGTGGTATGAAGCCAAGGTGACCCGAGACACAAGGGTCGATCGATCGGCGAGGCGAGACAGCGAACGGAAGACACTGTGTAAGTAAAGTTGCTCAGGAAGGTCGGCGGGCACAACTTTGGTTTGGCGGGGACAGTTGCCGCTGGATGGTGTTTCGGTTTGTCAGACGATCAGGAACGGAGGGAGGAAAGAACATGGGAATGGAAAGTGCGAGGTAAGTTGCGGGAAGGCGGAACGGAGTTTACAGTTTTCGTCGCACAAAGCCAGGCAGAGAGGCAAGGCAAGTGTCACGGGTGTTGCGTGTGTTTGGACCCTTGCCCAGGATCAAGACCCGGAGGAGAGAGGCTCGTGGAAGGTGGGATGGAAGGAAGGCCAAGCAGGTGGAAGGACGTCGGAAATGGCTCGCTTTCCCGTGTTCTATAGTTCTGCCTTTTTCGGGGGTCAGGATAGATGATCTCCCGAACAACGGACACTAGGCTCACACCAGGCGAAGCCGTGTGATCACGATGTCCTTTTCGTTCCTCTTGCCTGGCGCTTGGGTGGCCCTTGTCCGCTGGGGCCGCCGAGGGACATGACTTTGAAAGGTGGGTGACAGACAGATCGAAAGCATGGTGCGGGGCCTTGATGATGCACGACAGGCACCGAACGCAGACTCAGGTGAGGGGCATCCCTGCAGCCAGCCTGCCAACAGCTGGGTGGCGCTGGGAGCGAGGCCCGAGACTGGCTGAGGCTGGCTGCTACAGGTTCCTAGGCAGTAGTCGGGGGCCGTGGTGGACATTCTTTAGCACTGGACGCGCCTCACACCAAGGGCCTTCTGGGGGAGGACCTGAGGACGCCAGCGGAACAATCTCCAGGGGACTAATACACCAATGATGCATGGTGCCCTGCATGTGATTCTTCTCAGGATGGGCGGGCACTCTGCATATCAGATCTGACTGTTTGTTCTTCTTCCTTCTCTCGGCCCACGTCGTTCGACTGTCGACTCACCCACACCTCCATCTCACTACAACGCGCCTTGATGCAAAAACCCAGGCACCCGCACAGTCGAGACGTCATGGCTATCTGCACGTACCTGTAAAGGCCGCACGCATGCTGCCGCCTGGGCGGACGCTTTTCGGTACTCCGGCGCGTGTTGCGCCTTCTCGACCTGGAAGGCTGACCTGCCAGGCGCATTGCCAAAACCAGAGCCCCTATGTCCCAGCCCACCCTCCTTGGCGGTCTGCTTAGGCATCTAGGTACCTAGGTAGGCAGGAGTAGGTAAGGTAGGTAGAGATTGATTGACAGGCGGTCAAACTCTGCCGCTAGAATAAAGAGGGTCCTAGAGAATGGCGACATTGCAGAAAAAAAAACCAGAGGCGACCCCCACTGGCCGGTCAGGCGGCCAACTCGGCTTTCACGATGTTAGGTTAGACCCGGATGGCGAGCCATGCGCCTCCAAAGTCGATGAGTCAGGCGGACAAAGAGCATGCTAATTCCGACAAGCGACAAATTTGGAGCGGCTCGGCATCGTGACAATTTCTCGGTCGGCTGCTTGGTGTTTATGCATGCGTCCCCGAGATCGGACAGTGTGAATGTAGTGCAGTCTCTTCCCACCCGCAGCACAGTGGCCCAGGGCTTCAAGCATCCCTCTGTCTACTTTTACTAGAGGGCTGGCCGATGATTGATCTCCAAAACTTTGGGTGTCATTGTTCACCAAAGCCAGGGGGCACGGCAAGTCTGGCCTGACTTGGAGGACGTGCTTCCGTGGTCCAACCCCAGTGTCTCTTCCCCCAGTGGCTTGCCTCATTCCCTCTGCACGCTCATCATCTATGTGGCTTCAACCTTGGCCTTGATTGATCAGCGGATGCAGATGCACTGATGCCTGAAAGGGCGGCAAGAGGGTCCATGCTGGCGACGCAACCGCCACGGAAGTCCGTTGCGGCTTTGACAGGCGGCTTCTCATTTCAAGACAGACACCAGAGACATGGACAGAGACGACAGAAACAGACCAGACGCCAGAGTCAAACCGAATAAACCCTTGCGGAGAATAGAATGGTCCGTGCGCTCACCTCCAGATCCGCGCCGCCTCTTAGCGTTGTCCAGATCCCTGGATTGGTAAGGCGACCCTTAGTGGACAGCCAGGCAGGGGCAAACGCTGCCGCGGTCCATCCCATCTCCAACCTCACCCCATCGCCGAGTCGCGTTCGAGTCGTCGTTCCCATACCTTCGTTCCTGTCCCTATCCATCCTCTGAACTACCTGCTGCGCTCAATCCGACCGTCGCCATGCTGCTGTCGAACGTCCTCCAGCTACCCGTCCTGTTGGCCGCCGCTGCGTTGGCGCCAGCAGCTCTTGCCGAGCACACCAGCAACTGGGCTGTTCTCGTCGGTACCTCGCGCTTCTGGTTCAACTATCGCCACATGTCCAATGTCTTGTCCATCTACCGCACCGTCAAGCGACTAGGCATCCCCGATTCCCAGATCATTCTCATGTTGCCCGACGACATGGCCTGCAACCCCCGCAACGCCTTCCCGGGAACTGTCTACAGCAACTCTGACCGCGCCGTCGATCTGTACGGCGACAACATCGAGGTCGACTACCGAGGCTATGAAGTCACCGTCGAGAACTTCATTCGACTCATGACTGATCGTGTGGGCGCCGAGATGCCTCGCAGTAAGCGTCTCTTGACCGATGAGCGGAGCAACATTCTGGTGTACATGACAGGCCACGGCGGAAATGAGTTCCTGAAGTTCCAGGATGCCGAGGAAATAGGCGCGTTCGACCTAGCAGACGCTTTCGAGCAAATGTGGGAGAAGAAGAGGTAGGCTTAGCCGTGGACTGGTTCTAACGACACAAAGACTAACCCGAGACCGCAGATACAATGAGATCCTCTTCATGATCGACACGTGCCAGGCCAACACAATGTACAGCAAGCTCTACTCCCCGAACATCATCGCTACTGGCTCCTCCAAGCTTGACCAGTCATCCTATTCTCACCACGCCGACCAGGACGTCGGCGTCGCCGTCATCGACCGCTTCACCTACTATAACCTCGAGTTCCTCGAGACCAGGTCAAGGATATGAGCAGTCAGA